AGACTCGAGACAGGGTAATGTCGCCTTCTGCCACCTCCGTTGGGTATTCGTTTTCTCTTTTTTCTGCTTGTAAAGCTTCTTCCTCCCCAGACGGAACCTCAACAATGCCCTAACATTGTTTCAAGGTTGGATAAGAACCTCTTTAGCTAAGTTTAACGTAGGTGCAAAAGCTCTTAAATAACTCGATAGTCTCTTGAATGTGATTATGAAACCCTTTACCCACCCTTAACACCCCTTATACGTAAAGACAGACCACTCTATCGACCCCTTAATTAAAATAAATACAAACCCCATTATCCTCCCCTTAGATACGTGTGTCCTCCACCCTGACTTTCGAGACATATTGATGAGATAATTACACACGGCTTTAGATTTCGTTTATCGTACATTTGACTTGTATTTTATCGTAGGTTATTGTGTGTGCGTTTGACTGTGTACCCGGTAAGTTCTGTTGCTCTTGATGATACTGTGTGCTTTACTTAATATTGTATGGGAGAGCAAAAGGACTGCTGGGAGGGATGGCTGATGGGAGAGAGAGGAAGAGATGGAGGGAAGGACGGAAGGCAAAAGGAATGGACCTGTGGAGGGAGGGAAAGTGAAGGAGGAAGGGAGAGATGAAAGGAAGGAGGAAAAGCTGAAAGAATGGAGCTCTGGAGGAAGAAAGGAAGGAAAGGAAGGCTGGAGGGAGGAAGGGAAGGAGGGAGGGAGGGAGGGAGGGAGGGAGAGAATGATGGAGGGAGAGAATGATGGAGGGAGGAAAGGAAAACTGGAGGAATAGAGCTCTGGAGGGAGGGAGGGAAGGAGGGAGGGAGGGCTGGACTGTAGCCAGAAATCCCCGGGAAATACTACAACCAGAAGAACAAGTGGGAAATCCCAAGCCCCCAGGCGACTCCCCCGGATATATCCTCCCCAAATATATTCTCTCCAGATATATTCTCCCCAAATATATTCTCCCAAATTATATCCTCCCCAAACATCTTCTCCCCTGATATATCCTCCCCAAATATATTATCCCCAGATATATCCTCCCCAGACATCTTCTTCCTTGATATATTCTCCAAAAATGTATTCTCCCCCAGATATATCCTCCCAAAATATATTCTCCCCAGATATATCCTCCCCAAATATATTCTCCCCTAGATATATCCTCCCCAAATATATTCTTCCCAGATATATTCTCCCCTAGATATATCCTCCCCAGATGTATTCTCCCAGATATATCCTCCCCAGACATTTTCTCCCCAGATATATCCTCCCCAAATATATTTCCCCAGATACATCCTCACCAAATATATTATCCCCAGATACATTCTCCCCAAGATATATCCTCCCCAAATATATTCCCCCCAGATATATTCTCCACTGATATATCCTTCCCAAATATATCCTCCCCAGATATATTATCCCAGGTATATCCTCCCAAAATATATTCTCCCCGGATATATCCTCCCCAGTGTAATGATGGTTTATTTATCAGACCACAGCTTACAACTCAGAAAAAGTCCAGACCTGACCTTACATTAGCGAGGTCAAATGTAAGGGGACCCCTCGCAGCCGCAAGTCAAGGAGCTACAAATCAGCCAGCACCCCTATCACACGGCCCTACCAACTACGCTAAGAGGCACCCAGTCAGCAGAAGAGGCCACCTGCCTCCAATATATACAACAACTTACATCTCAGAAAAAGTCCAAACCTGACCCTACATTAGCGAGGTCAAATGTAAGGGGACCCTTCGCCGCTGCCCGATCAGCTCAAACTGACGGCTCGTCTCCCAATATATAGGACGTCGTAGCCCTCCCTCACGACACAACACACACAGAGGGATCACAGGAGGAAGTCCACCACGGCTAGAGGTGCCAGCCGAGTCCCGCTCACAGGAGGCAGAGTCACGCAAGCCCTCCCTCCGGTCGGGAGGGAGACTTCCCTTCCGACACCAGTGTCACCAGCTAAGCAGAGTCTCTCATAGAAGACAGCCAGAAGCACCTGCTAGGCCTTCCTCAGGTCATGTGAGTTTTTGTCAGAGCTATCCATAGGATGAGTTACTTACGTGGGAAGTGTATTCATTTCATGTTTGTGTCCGAGAATCAGTGTCTAGTAACGTAAATATAATGTCCTAGTAACGTAAATATAATGTCCTAGTAACGTAAATATAATGTCCTAGTAACGTAAATATAATGTCCTAGTAACGTAAATATAATGTCCTAGTAACGTAAATATAATGTCCTAGTAACGTAAATATAATGTCCTAGTAACGTAAATATTATGTCCTAGTAACGTAAATATAATGTCCTAGTAACGTAAATATAATGTCCTAGTAACGTAAATATAATGTCCTAGTAACGTAAATATAATGTCCTAGTAACGTAAATATAATGTCCTAGTAACGTAAATATAATGTCCTAGTAACGTAAATATAATGTCCTAATAACGTAAATATAATGTCCTAGTTACGTAAATATAATGTCCTAGTAACGTAAATATAATGTCCTAGTAACGTAAATATAATGTCCTAGTAACGTAAATATAATGTCCTAGTAACTTCGATAGAAGGTGTTGTTAATGTGTCCATGCCATTGTCGTAATTAATAAGTAGTTGTAACGAAGAGGTGTTTGAGAAGTCGCCCTTAAGAACGTAATAGAGGTGTATTGACGTATAAGATAAGTGTATTGACAGTGTAAATCACTAACCGGCCACGTTACCAAACCCTTCCCTCTTTACATTCCTCTTACTATCAATATTCTACATTTATGTAATCTTCTTCTTGTGAGTTCTTACTCATTACACCAGATATACTCTCCCCTAGATATAACCTCTCCAAATATATTTTACCCTAATATATTCTCCTCAGATATATCCTCCCCAGATATATTCTCCCCCAGATATATTCTCCCCTAGATATATCCTCCCGAAATATCTTCTCCTCAAATATTATTCTCCCCTTGATATATCCTCCCCAAATATATTTTCCCTTAATACATTCTCCACAGATATTATTCTCCTCAGATATATCCTCCCCTATTAAACTTTCTGGTAAATTTCAGAAACGACTCTTAGTTAGTGGTTAAAATGGCGACGAAATTATTCTAAGACTCTGCCGTGACTACACTGGATTGTTTGAAGATGTGAGACTTTTTATTTTTTTTTTTTTTTTTGCCCCGCGAGGGGGTTAGTTTATTGGGCACTCCCTTGCAACTTGTGCAAGGCGTAGCGCAAAAAGCGTTCACAGCACCCAACAGGGAAGCATGCGGAGTTCATGCTTGTGTAGTCGACTCATGCATTAAAGGGCGTAAGTGCCTGAAGGGCCATGGCTATCATCGGCAAGTTACATATAGTGACAGCATGATGGGGGAGAGTTCCCGATACAATGCATCTGTTTATGGCAAGGCTGGCTAGTTCCTCATAAGTCACATGCCAGGCCTGTCTGGAGGAGGAGTGTTGGTGACGGCTGGGGGCTGTGCTGTAGTAGGATAGGTACGATAACCATGACCTGGTGAGTGAGCTGTTGAGGTAAGGGCAGTTTGGGTCAAGGTCATGCATGAGTTTGTCGTGGTTAGACACAGAAGGACAATGGAGAATTCGGTGATGGGTTAGGTTAGGTTAGGTTAGGTTAGGCTAGGTCATGAATTGTCAGATAAGTCGTGGCCTATGATAGAGTAGGTCAGGGTCAAAAGTTAGAAGGTAACTCTTACTTAGATGGCTTGGAGCGGGGTCCAGGTGGCCACAGTTTGGGGTACTCACCATGGGGCGGGGTCCAGGTGGCCACAGTTTGGGGTACTCACCATGGGGCGGGGTCCAGGTGGCCACAGTTTGGGGTACTCACCATGGGGCGGGGTCCAGGTGGCCACAGTTTGGGGTACTTGGGTCCAGTACTCACCATGAGGCGAGGTCCAGGTGGCTACAGTTTGGGGTTCTCACCATGGGGGTCCAGGTGGACACAGTTTGGGGTACTCACCACGGGGGGGTCCAGGGGCCAGTTTGGGGGGGGTCCAGGTGGCCACAGTTTGGGGTACTACTATGGGGCGGGGTCCAGGTGGTACAGTTTGGGGTACTCACCATGAGGCGGGGTCCAGGTGGCCACAGTTTGGGGTTCTCACCATGGGGCGGGGTCCAGGTGGCCACAGGGGGTACTACCACGGGGGGGGTCCAGGTGGCCAAAGTTTGGGGTACTCACCATGAGGGGGGTCCAGGTGGCCACAGTTTGGGGGTACTCACCATGGGCTGGGTCCAGGGCCACAGTTCCAGGTGGCCACAGTTTGGGGTACTCACCATGGGGCGGGGTCCAGGTGGCCACAGTTTGGGGTCACCACAGGTGGGGTCCAGGGGCCACAGTTTGGGGGGGTGGGGTTTGGGGTCCAGGTGGCCAAAGTTTGGGGTACTCACCACGGGCGGGGTCCACGTACAAAGTTGGGGTACCACCGTCCACCAAAGTTTGGGGTGGGGTCCAGGTACAAAGTTTAGGTACTCAGGGGTCCAGGTACAGGTACCAATGGGCGGGGTCCAGGTGGCACAGTTTGGGGGTACTTACCATGAGGCGGGGTCCAGGTAGCCAGTTTGGGGTCACCACGGGCGGGGGTCCAGGTGGCCACAGTTTGGGGTACTTACCATGAGGCGGGGTCCAGGCCACAGTTTGGGGTACTCACCATGGGCGGGGGTCCAGATGGCCATGGGGGGCCTACCATGAGGAGGGGCCCAGGGGACACAGTGAGGCGGGGTCCAGGGACAGTTTGGGGTGGGGTCCAGGCAGTTTGGGTTGGTGGTGGGGTCCAGGTGGACACAGTTTGGGGTACTCACCTTGTGGCTGGGTCCAGGTGGACAGTTTGGGGGACTCACCTTGTGGCTGGGTCCAGGTGGGGTGGCTACAGTTTGGGGTACTCACCTTGTGGCTGGGTCCAGGTGGCCACAGTTTGGGGGACTCACCTTGTGGCTGGGTCCAGGTGGACACAGTTTGGGGGACTCACCTTGTGGCTGGGTCCAGGTGGACACAGTTTGGGGGACTCACCTTGTGGCTGGGTCCAGGTGGCCACAGTTTGGGGCACGATAACAGGGTCAGTATGGACGTGGTCAAGGCAAGGGACGCTGGCCATGTGCTGCCACACTCTCTCCTCCACCGTCCTGGTGTCCCTCGTGGCCGTCTCCTCCAGCGCGTGACTCTCCTCTAAGTTCCTGGCTGCTTGGCCGCCCAGTCCTGGCCCTGGCGCAACCCCACGCCGCCCGCCGCCCTCTTCCACCCTCGCTCCTGGGCCACCCATCGCCACCAACCTGATAAATGGGCAGCATCACTATCTCTCGTCGAGCATGACTCAGGTTCAGGTCTAGGAAAGGCATTCGGTCAAGGATTTTTTTTTCTTTATTCGTCAAAATATCAAGCAAGTACAAACTACACAAACCCTTCCAACTCCGCTACAAATGATTTTTTCTAGCACTGGCAACCTACATTACTTGTTTTTCTTTTATTCACCGAAAAAATTTACTTCAGCTGATGTTTCAAAATTGCGTAAGACATTACTTTATTAATGTATTTTTGTATACTGTATTATTCACAATACATCATGGATGGAGAATTAAGTTATACAGTTATTAAAACACTTTCATCTCCCCAATCTTCTGGTACTTAATACATTAATGGTCATAAAACAACACTAAACTATATAAATATATGTATATATAAATAAAACTATGAGACCATGTAGGTTTTATTCGTGGTACTTTTTTTTACCTACTAATAAGATTTGTTTTATTTTAATAATTTATAAATGGGGAGAAGATAGTTTGAACGGCCTACTATCTTCTTTAAATCAATCGCCTATGTCTATTGTTACTTGGCGGAAAGAGAACAGTTTGAGAGAGAACTTACAATTTTCCACCAACGTGTTCTCTAGTCGGTCGTAGGAGCAAGTGCCAGGTCGGTCTGATGTTTTGTTTATATCAGCAGTAACCATGGCAACACGTGCTCTCCGTTTGTCTTCTGTCACGTTCTTCATTTGTTTTACTTTTTTGTCTCCCCCTGGACCAGGATTCACTAAGTTTAAGTTAAATTGATGATAAGTGAGCGTGTGTAGTTAAAGGTCTAGTCAATGTGTAATTTCCATGCTATTTATGGATGTTATTTTTGTACCTGAGCTTATTAAGTCAATCAGTTCGAGCTGTCGAAAATTTTGATCACGGAATTTATTGTACTATAAATTTTGGAAGTCATCAGACCCACCCTGCCTGATACTTTTTTTTTTCACGAGGATTAGCCCACCCGGGCACAGGTCACTGACCCACATCCGGGCCTGGGGGGCGATAATGTAACAATAATAATAATAATAATAATAATAATAATAATAATAATAATAATAATAATATTATTATTATTGTTCATAGTAAATGAAATTTATAATAAAATAAAAACAAAATTGAAAATATAATAAAAATAATAATAATAATAATAATAATAATAACAATAATAATAATAATAATAATAAAGAACCAGAAAGAAATACAAAAATGAAAAAAAAATAAAAAATGAGAAACAATATATGTACTGTATGTTGTGTTGTCAATAGTAAGAGAAACAATTGAGACCCTGCAATGTGTAAATGAGGCAGAAGTCAGATCAGCAACCTGGGACTTGGTCACAATTTTCGTGGTGCCATATGGCAGCAGGGTCTACCATTAGACAACACATTATGCTCCAATATCTTCCCAGGCAGTAGTACCTCACTGTTTGGTAGCTGCCTACTACCTACTCAACGGCATCCAACTTTACGTACTCAAGGAATAGATGTTCCCACCATCTGTCTAAGCTGCACGGAGGACAACACCAGGCCTGGAACACAGCTAACCGACAAGACAAAACAGGAACAACAAGACCCCCCCCCCCTAAAAAAAACAGTTCCTGCCAATTGTATAACCATAACAGCAACTTGGAAATCCCACCAGTAATAACAGGAAAGCGATCAGATAACTACGTAGGATTTTCCACCCCTAAGTGCAGACACACCTGCAATGCTCTCACAACAATCCTCGAACACTCTACCCTCACGTCTCCCCACAATTTATCCTTCTAATCGGTGTTGAAATCTTAAGAAAAATCACTCAGGGGCGCTTCTAAGAGATCATCATCCAACTCTCAAACAGCAGTAAGAATCGTTCAAAAGACCCTTAAAAAAACACAGCCACAACTGCAACAACTGCAAAATCAACTTCTTCATAACCTACTAAACCATCTAAAGCAACAAATGAAACGGACGCCGCAGACGAACACCTTGAAGGCAACCATGCAACAACAAGCAAACATTACCCCAACATATGCCTTCACAGTCAAGTAACAGTACTGCTCACCTCCATCCTGTGTATACTACCCCAGTAGAGGTGTGTCATAGGAGGGAAGATCAGCTAAAACTAATGGCCCATCACTTTTTTGGTAGATTTTAGTGTATATAAACAGAAAAAATTTCAGTTTCAATATTTTGCAACCTTTTGCTAGGTAAATTTTAGCGTGAAATTTATCGAAAATCTAACGTACAGCTGCATTAGTGCATTACAATTAAATAGTGAACATTGCTTTCTGACTTCATTCTTTAACAACCCAACTAACAATATTTTTTTGTTTCAGATTCTGATGCATTTATAAGTTGATAATATTTGCGATGGCTGCTTGTGTCAGGACGAGGAACCAAAAATCCAGCCATCTCAGTCACTATCTTGGGTCTGGGAGAGAGCTCCTGAAGTCGGAGTTGCCTACATTGAGAGATGCTTTGAGATACGGTGTTTTAATCAGGCAAATCAGTGAAAAGAACCAAAGAACTTACACAAGCAAAGACATTGCCAGTGATATGACCAAAGCTGTCTTGGCACAGTACACTCTGGCTAACGCTCAGTTCAAGCTTCCAGTCATAACAAGTCAGAAGAAGATTAGTGAGAGACTGCTAGCCAGTTGGGAAAAGGCAAGAGATATCTCTCTTGGGAGAGGGAAAACTTGCAGTTAAGGACAGCTTTGCTTAAGCAACTGGACCAGTTATTTGACATAATTACTTGCAAGTGCCCAATTGTTTCTCTGTCCTGAGTTTGGATGCGATCGTGACTGTAAATCCGAGGCCCACATCTCCTGCTGTTGCAAGCGTGAACTGAAGATTCCTGTGATCGAACTGGCATTGTCAAACCACAGAGAGAGAGAGGCTGGCAGTATAAGGGGCTCTCATGATTTCTAGCCAAGATATTCCGGAGTCCAAGAGAAGGAGGCTGCCACAGAGAGACAGAAAGAGGAGAAGAGTTGCCGAGGAAAGGAGCTTGAGAAGGCCCAGGGTGAGGTTAAAAGGCCGATTATTGGAGTCAAGCTGATTCAGGTTAATGACTTCCCCATGGCTGATCCGAGTGCTGACCAGGAGAATGGTGACTTTGTCCCTAACTTGAAAATAATGATCCCAAACCTTCCAGGCATAAGATTCGAAATAGGAAAAGATATCCCGAGCATAGCTCTGGCCAGCATGCGACACCACACTGGTCTCAGAGGAAACTGCAGAGATAGCAACAGCTGCCTGGATTGACGGTGGTTGGTAACACCTGATGATGTTCACCTGGTGATAGATCATAACAAAGTAAGGAGCTCAGGAGAAACTTGTCAGTAACCTAGAAGAGGAGTTTGATAAGGGGATAAGAGAAAATGGAATCAATTGTTTGTTCTTTGATGGGAGAAGGGATGACACTAAAGTGTTCATGAAAGTTGGAGATTCTGACAAGTTGTTCCTTGCCATGGTGAAGGAGGAACACTACTCCTGCTGCAGTGAACCAGGAGGGAAATATTTGTGGCATTTCACTCCAGAGAAAGATGACATCAGGAAACCAGCTGAGATAGTGGCAGATAACATTGTGAACTGGCTCAGAGAGAGGAACGTAGACCAGACCCTGCAGGCCATTGGAAGGGACAGCACCAATACGAACACAGGGTGGCAAGGGGGGTCATACAGTGGATAGAGCGGAAGATTGGGAAGAAGCTGGTCTGGATTGTTTGTGAC